TGCATTTACCACTGGCGTGTGTTTATCTGTTTGATAACTAACCGAGGAACTCTGAACAAGGTCATAGGCATTCTAAGACAGGTCAAAATGAAAGAAATTTGTTTAAACTCTTAAAGATTGATTGTTCATATATTCGAAGATGTATACTCTATGAACATATGTTCAAGAATCAGATAAACCCAATACTATTCAAAAGTTGAGAAATTTCTGAAAGTTAAAGTTATCTCGATTTTGGCATCATAATGTTCAGAAGATATAAAATGATGGAGAACATGATTTTCAGAAAATAAGAATCAAAAGCAGAAGTAGATGTCTTCCAGAAGAACAGAGAAAATCAGAAGTTGAAAACTCTGAAATTCCTAAAGTCAATACTCTCAAGATCTCGATATCTGATCTATTAGAACCAGAGGGAGTTTTACTCAAATGTTTCAGAGTCAAGATAATCGATCCTCATCAAGTCACTGACTCAGGGGGGGCTATCCAGCTCTGGGGAGTTGAGGGAAAGTTAACTTTGAATCTGTTTATATTTTTATACCAGTAAAATTGTTTCATCAAAATACATGATTTTTGTCATCATAAAAAAGGGGGAGATTGTTAGAGCAAGAAAGCTTCTAAGCAATTCTTTGTTTTGAAGATAACAACCATATATTTTGTGTGTAACAATTTTAGTGTTACTAATGTTTTTATTGAGTGTGTGTATTTAATAACAAGAAACATTCTATAAAAGAGCTTGTGCAAATATAACTTAGAAAGCTGAAGATATAAGAATCAGAAAGCTTCTACAACTGAAGTTGTCTTTCAACATAAGTTGTTGCCTATACATCTGAAGACATAATCGTCCATCAGAAAGATTCTAGAGATTGTGCAAATATAACTCAAAAAGCTGAAGATACCAGAATCAGAAAGATTCTACAACTGAAGTTATCTCTCAACATAAGTTGATGCCTATAGTTCTGAAAACAAGACGTGTTCCTAAAAGTTCAATCTAGTGTTTCTACGCTACATCAAATCAGTAGTTTCTGAACTACTCGTCAGAAGAACAAGACAAGTAATAAGTCTCAAATTCAGCACTTCAGAAACATAAACAACATCTTCTAGAGAAATCAAGTTCTACAGAAACAAGTTAAACAAAGATCAGAAAATTCTAGATACATATTCAGTAGTGCTCTAATCTATACTGACAAATTATCACAGTTTTCAAGGAAAACAATGACGGCAATTCTCAGCTATATCTTGGATAGATAAAAAGAAGAAATCACGCCTCCTACACAGTAATCATTACAAAAAGGTAGATTTGCATTGAAAACATATCAAAATGCAAAATACATGTTACAACATAATATGTGCTCCAATGGTACTATTATCTCAAGCCTATATAAAGCAACTTTGAATACATGTGGAAAATGGTTATCTGGTGTGTGGCCCAATAGCACCAAGAATTTTACAAGCACAAAGTAGCATCACTTTGAAATGCAATATTTACACTGAGTTGTTGCTCTATAGTGTAATATTTCATTAAGCATATTAAAGTTCTAACAGCTTACTATAAAGCACTGTGTACATCATAACTTAGTTCCAAAAAGGTTGTCTATCTTACAATAAAAACATCACAACAACAGAAAGAACGAAGGATCAACAAGCATAAGAAACATGAGTTGATACTCGTGTCTTGATCATTGGAGAAAATAATCTGAAGATCTCAACAAGATGTCTTTCAAAATATAAATCAAAATGCATCTCTAGAGAAACCAGAAAAAAAGATAGAAGTTATTTTATTCATCTCGATTAACAAGATTATGAAGTTAAGAAGACTACAAGATGTTTTGCACCTAATCTCCATAACATTAAATCTTGTAGAAACATTCAAAGAACAAGAGTTATTGCTCTGATTGTGTTATCTCTTAGAAACCTTCATGTAAATTGTTTAAGACAACGCAGTTATTGCTCAAAAGTTTGTCAAAATAATATCTACTCTAAGTAGGAGAAATCTGTTTGATAAGAAGCACTCTTGTAAATCTCCAAAAAAACGATTCTTTTTAAATTTGGTGTTTCCTCAAGTGAATTTCTAGTCTGTATACTTGAGAGGGCTAAGAGGTCTTTCTAGACTCTTAGAGGTTATTTCTAGAATTCATGTTTCCCGCAAGTGACTTTCTAGTCTGTATACTTGAGAGGGCTAAGTGGTCTTTCTAGACTCTTAGAGGTTGTTGTAATCTTTCAAGATTAGTGGATTAAGTCCTTTTTTAAGGCAAAATCACCTGAGGAGGATGGACAAGATACAACCTTGGTTTAGAAGGTGAACTTGTATAAAAATAGATATGTTCTTTATTGCTATCAATTTCTGCTTGATTAAAGGCTTCTGAAAACTCTTTAGAAAGGGGAAAAGTTTCCATCAACACAATTCAAACCCCCATTTCTTATGTTTTTATCCACCTTCACAAGTGACTTCCTACTTCCATATGAAACAACCGGCTGAAAATTATCAAACAATGAAGTCTCCATCGAATGTATTTTATCCCACATGAAGGGAAAGGTAAACATCAAGAAAACCTGAAAAGGAGGAAGTCACGGTCTTACGACCGAGAGATCAGGTAAGGGAGTCTGTTACGCAAGGGGAAGGTACTAGTACCCCACACACTCGTAGTACTCTATGGTATCCACTCTTGTTATCTATCTTATGGGTGTGTTTAACATATGCTTATTCTACTACTCAGGACAAATGCATGCAAAAGAAAGGGGAAAATAATGTAGGGAAAATAAAGTTATGCTCGCTTGGGCCCTACTCCAATGGCTACGTCTCCTTTTTGAGGAATCAGAGTTACTGTAGTTTGGCTCATATGTTTTGTTTGTTTTGTGTTTTTTATGAACAATGTTAATTCTGCCTTCTTCCGCAGCTCGACCTTTGGAGACTCACACGTTGGCAGAGAAGTAAATTAATCATGTCCTTACCTGAAAATTGTTTTGAGTTACGCCCTCAAAGCAAGATGCCACATTTAATTGGTTTGTGTTTTGTTACCTTGAAAAAGGGTTTAAGTACGATTAGCATATTTTATGATTTGCCAAGAAAAAAAGTTTTTAGTCTTAAATGCATATGCAAAATGGAGAAAACAAATAAGGGAGACTAACCTAGCACTACCCCTAATGTTATCATGCAATGAGGTTTGGATTAACAAAAGGGAAGTGTCTACCTAATGTTAGTATGCATGGTTTGCAACCTAAGGTCTAACTTGCATCCGAAAGGAAAAAGCGCATCCTAAGGGAACATGGTATGTACAAGGATAAAACAAGAAAGCTCGAAAGAGCACACACATAAAATGGTAAAGAAAAGAAGTGAAATTCTTTAGCCAAGGGGAGCGTATGACCCGAGACAAACAAGTGGGAGTAGGACGTAAAATAAAAATATGACGTCCAAAGTGACTGAACACCTAACCAATATATAGAAGATCGAGGTAGCCGACAGAAGACAATATGAACAATCACGGATTGCCAACATCGGCCAATGCAAACTCCTGACAAAGTGTGGGGATATGATTGTAAAACCCTTCCCCATTTGACGACTCGATAACAAGAGCAGGCACAACTCTGAAGAATTATGGTTAGTCACGAGCTAAGGATGGCACGAACAAAATTGCATGGGTTGATTGCAAACCCTCCCCGCTCGCCTCTTTTTAAGGACTTATCATTTGTAACATATGCGGGAACAAATATAAACACACGTGCAAAATACCTACTTCAAAGGTAGGGTTTTAAACAAACACAAATAACACACAGAAAGCACACAATACGGAATTGCCCTAAACATGTCTTTAAATAAACCATAGGAATTCCTGACATGATCAGTAACGGAGATCCCATCATACATATCTACCCCACTTCTCATGGAATCAGAAAGAAGTAAAGCCTTACTTCTCATGATCTCTAGAAAAACGGTAAAGAAATGCAATAAGGTGCGGAGAAATATAAAAGGAGTAGCGGCTACTACCACAAGCAAGCCAATCGTAGAAAGCGGACGAAATCAATGGAGAAGCAGAGAGTACGCGCCGAGCAAGCTTCACCAAGAAACAAACAAAGTCGGAAACAATATCCAACTAAGATAAAAGCAAACGTGCATTGTGAATGCAACGCGTAATCAGAAGTTCCTGCACAAAGCATCATAAAATATCACATGCATCAAGATAACATATAATATAATATGAATTTCTCAGGACGATAAGAAATAAGGTGTGTCGCATCGAAAGCGAGCATAAGCCGTATGCTTCGATCACATAACAACTTGTTATGTTACATGATTGAAAGCATCAAAAATGTACCTTGGACAATGAACAAACGCGTCAAAAATAACGAGGCACGACGGTATGAATATATGGATAAAAACTAAAAGAAAAAATATTTTTTATTAGTTTTTATGTGAAAAAAATTTAAAAAACTAAAGAATTAATAAAAACATTCTATTATATTCTACCATTTTTATTATTTTTATTTTTTTTTTTATCATGTACTTTTATTGACAAAAAAATTATGAAAGATAAACTACAATAAAAAAACAAAATGAAAATAAAGGAAACAGGGGATGTAAAGTCAGAATGAGAGTGTATTGCAGGAGCATGGCACTGGGCCCATTGAATGCATATCCAAGAAGAGGTTTTTGTTATAAGGCTCTAAGTGTACAAAAATAATGTAATGGGCCGGCCGGAGGGTGCAAGCAATGAATGGCCCAGGGGGTATAAGCTCAGCAAGCACTTTTTTGTAGCTATCTTAGTTCAAAAAACACGCATGTTAGGCTTTGTGAGTAGCGCCTCAGCCCAATAGTCATCACCACTTCCACCTCAATTATTCGGCACTTTTGATTTATTAAAATAAAACTAAAAAAAAGAAATTAAAAAAACACGAAGTAATGAAGAGAGAAAGAGATGAAATGTCTTCGTTTTGATCAAGAATGTAAGGATCATATATGACTCTTCGCATCTCCAAACACACTCTTCTATCTCCACGCCCAGGCTTCGATGAAAATTTGCTCCGCCGTACCGGAGGCGGTGGAGCTTCATCTTTCTTCAAATTCTTTCACTCATCTTCTTCGTCTTCGCCTCTTCTTTCCATTTCTTGCCTCTAATTCCTCAAATCATGCCCAAGTCTTACTAAATCTAGCGAAACCTAATTCTTGAAACTGGAAATTAAACACTCATAGCTACGAATTAAAACTTGATACTATGGGGATAATGCTCAGAAATCATCAAGCATTCATACAATATGATGCAAGATAGAGGATAGACCAACCTGCGAAGCCGAGATTTGCTTCGGTGTTCGTTGCAAGTATTAAAGATGAGTACGAAGCTTTCGAGAAAACTAAAGGATCTCGATTTTTGCAGGTAATATTATGCGTCCCTCCTTCTTCTGCTTATTGTTTCTCTACTTCTTTTTCTTGCGTTCTTCCTGCACTGATTCTACATCGTTGTTGCGTTCTTTTGTAGATTCGTGATGTTGTTTTTGAAGTAATGAACGAAGATGTCGTGATGATGATGACGCTTGCATATTCCGAAAGCAGAGATGAAGATGGAAGATTGTTGACGGTGATGAAGCAGAATGATGATGATGATGATGATGATGATTGTTGCAGATTGTTGAGGGCTCTTGAAGGTGGAAGATGAAAATGAGAATTGAAGGTTGTTGAGAATTATCTTGCAGAAAGTAATGAAGATTGAAGATGATGTTGATGCTTGTTGATGATTGTTCAATGGAGGATTGAAGAACGAACAAGATTGATGAATGGAAGCAGAGGTTTAGAGAGAGATCTTTTGATATGATTTTATGGTGAGTTTTTTATATCTTGTTTTTTTCTGACTTTTCTGGTGAATCCCTTTTTTGTTATCAATCGTGAACCCCTTCTCTTTTTTGTTTTCCTATTGTATCTCTGCTAGAAGTCGTTAGAAGCATTTAGGAGGTTGGCTTGAGTTTTAGATACTGTTAGAAAGTTCTGTTAGATTTAGTTATGATTTGAATCGATCTCGACCCTTAGCTCTTGAATTTGTTACAAGCAATGAATGGTGAGATTTGAAGCAATTGAAATTTGTTAAGAGCTTGTAAAAAAATTGTTATGCCCTTTCACTTCTATTTTTGATTTATATTTTTCCCCTTCTGATTTCTCACAGTTTCCTGGTATTTCTTCTGATATTTTCTCAGATATTTTTATTTTTTAGAATTTCTCATTTTCTATTAGTTAGAAGTCCTCCAAGATTCGGTTATGTTGTGCTAATTTTGACTGGTCTTTTGGATCTGGTTTAAATGTTATTGAATGTTTTCTGAACTGAGTTTGTGTTGCAGGGCAGCTTTGGGTAATATGATGCCAAGATAACAAATTGAAGTCACCTAAAGTTGAAGTATAAATGGCTATAAATCTTGAGCATGAAGAGAGATAGAGTTCGAAGAAAAGTAATTTGTAAAGTAGGATGGGCTCTAATTTGGGTTTAAATAGGAATCTCACTTGTATAATTTTATGGGTTGTAAATGGTATTGTTGTAATTGGATCATGTATCGGGTGACTTAGATATATCATGGATTTGTAGTGGTTTTCTCCTTGGGTCAACCTTCGAGTGTAATTTGATTTTGATCAAAAGCCATAGTTAACTTTGAATCCCTTTGCCTTCTTCCATCCATTTAATTTTGCTTGAAGTTCTCAATGTTCCTCTTCAGCCTTTCTCAATTTGAATTTCCAATTCTTTGTTTCCCATTTTATACTTTAGTCGAATGAATATGATGGAAGTCCCAAAAGGGACTAAGAGAGACCTTCGTTAAAGTTCCCATTGAAAATCTCTTCAACTTGGAATGCAATATGGTGAACTCGGATGAATAGTTCTAAACCAATCTTCAATTAACAAAATCATTCAATTGGCATCTGTTTTCCTTGTGAGCTACAAGTATAACAATGAACCCACAAAATTATCCTTTGAGTCATGATTCAATATTTCGCAATTCAATCCATAAACCTTTGACTTGGTAACCAATGACCTCACAAAGTACCATGTCTTGAAGAAATCTTAATTTCAATTCTCACGTCCAAGTTAACTTGCAATACAAGCAATCAAACAATTGAGAACAATAATACCCCTGATCATTCTATCCATCAAACATCTAGTAAAAATGTTGACAAACCCGAGTATAATAGGATATAAACCCTAGATTCATAGCTCTAAAGAGGAAAACCCTGTGACCCGCTGTTAATATGGAAATAATAGCTTTGTAGCCTAAGGAGAAATAAATCTCAATAACCACAGATCATAACCTTAATGCCTCTGTTTAATGCTTAAAGAAGGAATCAATCTTTATTGGATACGAACGCCTTAACCACTATAAAACCCCAATTCTTCAAGATCTTTGATCCCATGCCAAATTATTGATTAATGATGCATGATGTGTTAGATGACCTAATGGGACGTATGTACATGATGATTAAGAGAAGCATAAGCCCGATGATTTGTTGAAAAGGTAGGACAAATTTGGGATATTACACCATAGCCTTACCTCGATGCCACTTTTTCTTCTTTCTATTGACTTTTGGAATAGATCATTGCGTTTTTATGCTTGTTAAAGATGGAGAAGATGACACCCTCTAAGAGATTTTGATTGAGACTTTTTTTGGTGGTGGTATTGGGACATGGCTTTCGCCAAATGTTCTGATCATGCCAACTGGAGAGTGATTATCTTTTCCTTCCCCTTCTTCTTGATCTTAAACACTTTTAAAGTAATTTCCTCATCATACGCCTTTAAAGTCAGGGTTCCTTTTTCCACATCAAAATTGCATCGACTTGTAAGCAAGAATGGTTGACCGATAATAAGTGGGGTCTCTTCATCTTATCGAATATACATGATCTCAAAATCAAATAGAAAGTTAAATTTGTCAATTGTCACTGGTACGTCTTCTGCTACCCCCATATGACTGTTTATGGTGTGATCATCAAATTTTAAATTTTTCCTTGTATCACTCACATTTCCAATGACAAGCTTTTGAAAGATAAGTAATGGCATTAGTCTCACACTAGAACCCGAATCAATTAGAACCTTCTTGAAAATTCCATCTTTTATAGTGCATGGGATTGTGATAGATCCAGGATCCTTCACCTTGATTAGGATTCTCCTACCTGGTGATATTTCAATGCACTTTTCATTAAGGGTTACCATCCCATCTCCTATTGATCTCTTTCTAGATATTACCTCTTTCATGAATTTTTGATACATGGATATTTTCTCGAGTGCTTCAAAGAAAGGCATATTGATCTCTAACTTTTTGAACATTGTGATAAATTTCTCAAAGTCTTTATCTTTTGGATCCTTCTTTGTCACTCTCTGAGGGTAAGGTAACTTAATCACCGATTTATCTTCCATTTTATTTTTTTCTTTAGTCAGCTATACGAGTGGTATAACTTCTTTTGGTTCTTTCTTATTTTCATTCACTTCCATCTCTACCTCCATGACGTGGTCATCATTTCTTGCCTTCTCTTCTTTATATTTATCAACTTTCTAACTTCTTGTTATGACAATGTTAACATTCCCATGATTTTTCGGATTTGGTATTGTTGTACTCGGAATGGTGCCTTATGCTTGTAGAGATGATTGTTGTGCTATCTGTCCCAACTGAATCTCCAAATTTTTTACTGAAGATGTAGTTTTCCTTTGGTTATTTCTTGTCTCTTCTTGAAATTGGGCATTTTGCAAAGCCATCTTTTCAATAGCTATTTCTCAATCTGCCTTCTGTGGAGCTTGTTGTTGTTGTGGTTGTAGAAATTGATTCTGGTATTGACCAGGACCCTGTTTTTGAACATTCCCTTGCCGATCTTTCCAAGAGAAGTTAAGATGATTCTTTTACCCTGGATTATAAGTATTCGAATAAGGATTATTCTGCTTCAAGTATTTTATCTCTTCAATTTGTTGGGCAGTCGTAAGATAATACATAGCAAAATGAGGTCAACCACAAATTTCACAACTAACAGTCTGAGCAGGTTGAATTTGAGCTACTTGTTGGGTACCTATATTCATTGTCTTAAGTATTTTTTTTTCACTTTTGTAGAAAGTGTGACTTCTATCCTTATTTTATTGGTTTCCAACTTTAGATCAATAACTCCTTCGAGCTTTCCTGCACATCTATCATACAACTTTAAATGCTCATTTGCAGATATTGCTTCAATTTATCTTTTTAATACCAGTGGTTGTTGAAAAACTAGTTGAGCCACCAGCTGTTGTATCAATTTGTTCATTATGATCCATATTATGTGTAGGACAAGCCACCAGGAGTCTTTTAAATCTTTTATAAGCATCCCTTAAGGACTCACCCTCTTTCTGCTTAAAGTTCAGAATATCATATCTTTTTCTCAAGAACATTGATGCTGGAAAATACTCGTTCAGGAATTTCGTTTCCATCTCTTTCCAAGAAGCGATACTACCAGCTAGGAGAGAACAAAACCACTCTTTCGCATCTTCCTCTAAAGTAAACGGAAATATTCTCAACTTTTTTTCTTCATCAGTGTGTCCATTAATTTTCAAAGTGGTACTTATAGATAGAAACCTTTGTAGATGTTTATTAGCATTTTCATTTGCCTTTCCTGTGAGAGGTCTCTTCTCTAGTTGAGTAATTATGCTTGAATGCAACTAGAAGTTTGGCATATTCACCAGTTGGTTTACTATTATCAGCCTACCACTCGGTGCATTTGCTCTACCATAGTCACCAAGGAGTCTCTAGGTGTTGGTGGATCTTCAGCCATAGTTTCTACTTTTCTCTTTGACTCTGAATCTCAATGGACAGTGATATGCTCTTCTTCGGATTCCAATTTAAACAACCGAGCTTGATTTTGCTTTGTGTGCAAGGTACTTTTGATTTTTGCGTCAAAAAGAAAATCAGTTGAGGGTTATTCTCGTATATAAATGTCAGAAACAGATTAGTAGCAATAGAATAAAAACAACTAAAAAAATTGAAATAAAATTTTAGTTGCATTGCAACAAAATTTTAACTAAAATACAACTGAAACTCTATAATCTTCTGCAGTCTCTGTCAACGGCACGAAAAACTTGGTTGGGAAATTAACAAGTCTACTAATTCACCAATGTAGTAATAATGGGAAATCCCAAAGTATCGATCTCAAGGAATGCGTGATGATATAGAGTTATCGTTTCAATTTAGTTAAACAAAAGCCTTTGGGGTTTTAGTTTGGAGTTTTGGCTATAGAGAAATAAAATAATAAATAAAAGTAAACAGAACAGTTGAACATATTTAATTATATGCGAGTAAACATACTAGAGAAGGTGTATGATCGGGTCCACTAATAATTCTAACATGACCTTGCAATCACATCTTTTAAACTATTGATTACCGGTTCTTAAGGGTATTTACTCCTAAGTCCTTTGCGAGTAAACCTTTAAACATTCAAATTAAATCTTAAGTCCATAGTGAATTACAGATGAAATTAAGCATTAATTTATCAAGAATAATTTGGTTCCTATAGGGTATCCTTAGTCTTAGGTGATATCTACTACATGATCATTTTAATTGAGCGTTAACGGTGATAGTTTTGCCTAACTATTAACCGTAAATCAAATCTCAATTTTTCTGAAAGAGAAAATATTAAGCACAAATAAAAAGTAAACTCAATAGAGAAGAAAT